TTTTCCTGAGCAAATGCTGACAATGTGAATCTGGCAGAGGCTGCTGGAGAGGGACTCAGCACACATCTCAGCAAGCCCATTAGTGCACGAGCCAGTTGGGGACCCCAAAGAGGAGCCAGTGTGGGTGTGGGAGGCTCCTAAATCTGAACCCGAAGGGCAGATGTGAGGCTTAATCTGCAGCAGGCAACAGAGTGCGATTACACTGAGGATTATAATCTCAGTCCACAGGAGATTATAGAGGAATAAGTGAAGTTAAAACACTGAGATCAGGGAGTCAGAGATGTGTCAGGGGAGATCCTTCAAAAGTCAGAGATTGAGAACCCGACAGAGGCTCCCCTCATTTCTCACACATCGCAGAAACAGAAATCATTCTTTCTGGTCATCACAAGGTTAGCCACCTAGTAGTCATTCATACCTTAGTATAATAGTCTCATATTCAACTGGTGCTCTCTAAATACCATGCGAAGAATACTTTTGGTGGGAACTACTGAAGAAATGACTTCTCAATCTAAATATTAATTTTTAAGCTCTGTCATCCACCCTCATGCCCACAAAGTAAAACATGTAGTGGGAGATTATAATTTCCAGCTGCCAGAGACAGAGACAGGTGCATTCAGTTTATGGATGTATCCATGGCAAATATGGAGATTGAACTCAAGCTGAGAAGGCAGCTGCTGCTGAGGAGGTGGCCAAGAAGGTAGGAAAGCAAGACACGGCCCCCCACTGATGAATCACAGATAACAAACACGTCTACCTAGTGCAAGGAGGGGTGAAGCAAGGCACAATGAAGGCTCAAAGTCGGGCGATGGATGCCAAAGACAAAGGAGTTCACTGCAGTCTTTTTTCACTAGTAAGCCTGGTTTTTCTGCAGCCGCAGGTCATTCTCCAGTTCAGAACGGCACTGCTGGGGACAATCAGCCATCTGGGACACTACAGGGAAGACACTGTCCTAGATGCAGTAACTAAGTGAAGGACTCCTTGAATGTCAGAGAAGCTACGGAGGACATGGCATAGAGGGGGAAGTACCAACACCGCAAAGCTGGGGTTGGGCCACCAGCTGCTGCAAAGCGGCCAAGCCGGTGAGCTGGAGGGCTCTCCCTTATCATCTTACTACACCTGAACTTCTGTGTTAGGAGACAGGGGACTTTGGAATTGGGGATTGTCCTTGCTGCAAATTGCCAAGGCCGAATCTTGCTGTGGCTTACCAAATCCTCCAATGCACACCAAAGGCCTGAGGGTTTGTGACCTAGTGACATTCTTTGGCCTAGAAAACACAACAAAACAAAACCTGAAACAAGAAAGCAAACCTGAGCCTGCAGTCCGAGGGCCTGGGCTGGGCTCTGGGCCCAGGGGCCTTGCTTCTCCAGGACAGTGAGCAGACCTGCTCTGCAGGCAAAGGGAGAGCACGTGCGAGGGAGGGGAGCACTTGACCGATCCCTCCCAATGTGTAGCTTTTTCTACTGCCCAGAGATCTTAAAACCCATCCCCAAGCCCCGCTGCCTGCATGTGTATGTGCACACATGTGGCAGGTGCCCTGCGCGATCCCACTCAGGCCCTCAAATTCAGAGAAATTCAATGACCTGTGCCAGCACCGTGGGCCCAGCGACCTTCCTGAAGAGACGGGAGAGCCAGCCACCTCCGCCACTGGCGCAGGCCTGGAGCGATGCCCACACTCCAAGGGTGACCCAGCGGCACCCTCCGCACCACAGCAGCTGCTGCTTCCCAGGCTAAGCTCTAGCATCTCATTTTCCTCGCATCAGCAGCACACAGCTGCCATCGGTCATCTCGCTGGGGAGGGCAGGGAGTTTCCCACCTTCCCCTTGAAAAAGTGGCATCAGCTGCGCCCCTTCTCCTCTGGCTCCACCCACATTCTGCCGCTACACTCCAAAGCACAGCCACCTCTAACCCCCTCTTGGCAGCTAGTCCTGGCCACGCTTGTGACCACAGCTGTTCCACCTAGAGAGTGGCTGGGGGCGGGGTGAGGGGTGGTCAGAGAATGACCCAAAGCAGCTGCGAGTCAGGATAGGGCTGGTCAGGATGATTGTGCTTGGGTGGGTTGCTTGAGTGTGCAGCCTTCTGGGGCAGGCGTGTGCACGGGTGTGAGGAAGGGTGTGAGTGTGAGCTGTGGCTAGAGGTGCACGTGCTTGGTGCTAGTGGATGGGCAGTGCATGTGCACCACTGGATCTGGCTCTTGAAAATTAGCAAGCCAAATTAAATTTAGATGTGTCAAGATAATCTCCCAAATACATTTGGAACACCATGTATTTATTGTGTCTCATTGTTTACAAGGTCTGGGCATGTCAAATGAGTTGTTTAAGGAACAGCTAAGTCCTCACTCATATAAATTGTAGCTTTTTAGTGTAGCCAAAGATTTTGACTGGTGCCCAGAGACACTTGGATCCTCTTGGGACCCCCTGCCTCCAGCCGCCCTCCAACGCAGCTTCTCCAGAAGCTCTGCTTTGGTGGGCTCCAGATGTTGGAACGTCTGATGGCAGCGGCCGCACGGCTAGACGATACAGGTGTTCGAGCTACCAGCTCGCACCCACAGACTCAGCCCCACCCTAGCGAGATCCACCCAGAGCACCTTCCTTTCTCCTGCAGCACTCACAGCTGAGACCGAGGTTGCCTCCACCTGAGCACCCAGCTCCACCCTCACATCTGCTCAGTTTGAATCCTGGCCTCAGGCGTGGTGCTAACCTCTCAAGGATGGCCACACTTGGTTTTCTTTTAGACTTTGTGTCCCCTCTTGCTGGTTATGGTTTAGATCCAAAGCACAGAGCGTTAATGTGGCCTCCAGCTAGGACAAGCAGAGAGTGCCCTACAGGGGGCCACAGTTTATAAGATTTCTGGTTACAATTTATGGTTCACCTTAGTGAATATGCATAAAAGCTATTTCAACGGGAACACTTTTTTATTTTTTTTATTTTTTAGGGAAGGGGCTTCAGGGTGTTCAGGGTCTCACTACTAGATCAGACTCCTAGTGATTCTCCTGTTTACAGCCTCCCAAGAGCTGGGATTATAGGCACGAGCCGCCATGCCCAATCTCAATCGCTGTTTCAGCACCCCCAGGGGTGGGGCTGGCACAGCAGGCTTGGGGATAAGAACCCCTGGCCCCTGGCCCTGCTTACAGGCACTTTAATCCACTGAGCTATTTCATTTTGTTCATCACAAAAGTAGACAGCCCTGAGAAACTTTATGCTTTTTCCTCTAAATTCTCAATAGATACTAAGTAAAATGGTATTTAATATCATTTAGGCTGGGCATGGTGATGCACGCCCTCAATCCCAGCACTTGTGAAGCTGAGGCAGGAGGATGACCTTGAGTTTGACGTCAACCTGGGCTACATGGTGAGATCCTGTCTGAAAAAACAAAAACATAAAGGGTCGCTTATATGATGCCACCTCACCATCACTTCAACCCAAGTGAGTTGTTGGACATTTGTGACATTCAAGGCACTTGCTAGGCTTGTGCTGTGATGTAACTACTAAGACGCTCTTCTAATCTCTTGGAACAAGGTAAATAAAGTCTTTTTGAAAGAACCATAAAAGATTCATTTTTATGGAAAGAATGACAGGATTTTATAGAGAAAATAATATCTGAGTTTGACCTAGAGAATGAATAGAAGTTTATTCCACCAGGATTAAAGAAAGGATGTTGCGTGCAGACCGGACAGCATGGGCAGCACTCCAGAGGTAAGAAAGGTCTTGCGTGAGCAACGCCTGGACCCGTAGCAAGCTCATAGGAAGAGCTAAGGCTTCAAAGGTACCTGCACGGCACATTTTTATAAGACCTTGGAGGCTGGGCTCAGGAGACTTGTCTTGACTGAGGAATCACTGAAGTTAAAGTAATTAGGACAGATATATGGAAAAGAAAAGAAATGTTATCAAGATCAAGGAATATGAATTGTGCTAAATCCCGTGCCCCTTCCCCTCCCTGCTAGGACAACCAAATAGAGAATAGAGTGGAGAAGCCATGGAGCTAAACATGCGGAATCAGCAGAGCACTCTCTCATGGGAGACAAAGAAGCAAGAGGAGCAATTTGGGAGGCAGAAGTGATGCATACATCATGACTCACCCTCTTTACTGCCTCTCCACGTGACGTATTTTCCCTGCGCCCTCACGCTACTTGTTCCCTAGAGAATCATGAAACCTGAAAGCATGATTAGGCAGGGGGAGAACCTTTAACACTTGCATTGGGAATCCTAATGTGGAGCAAGAGTGAATTCTGCACTGTTAGGTTTGTCCCCACATTCCGGTCCACGTAAATCAAACAGATATTGCAAGGATTCCACGTTCCCTGTGGACTTAGCCCAGGCCACCAAGACCAGGGTGGGCTGTAGCAGGTTGGCCATACTGACAGAAGCGCTGTCTCTGCGGGACAACTGCCTGAGCATCAAAAGCCACATAGGACGCAGCACTGCAGCAAGGTGGATCCCCAGTACCCCGAGATTAGATCAGGTGAAGCATCTGCTGACTGAGAAGCCAGCACTGCCAGCTAGCTAGCAGGGCACCTCACACGTGCCGGCCATCGCAGGCACAGATTCCTTGCGCTCACCTTGACCTTCTGACTTCCTTCTCTGCAGAGCAGCTTCCTGAGGTGCGAAGAAAACAGATACAATCCACATGCTCATCCTCAGCACCCAGGCTCCAGAAGCCTCACAAGGCCGACTTAATTACAGAAGCTTTGAACTGAGTCTGAAATTTTAATAGTTGGGTTGCAAAAATCAGTAAGCTGGAGATTAAGAGAAGAGGCCAACAAAGATAAGGTTTTCTGCTATTTTTAGGGTGGACCCTCAGTTTAATGCAAATTGGTAATGATTTGGACAAATGTCTGTATAAATACATGCACTGAGATGTTCCAAAGAACAGCATGAAAGTGTAAAAATTCTGTAAGTATCTGAACTACAAAATGAACAATGAGGTAAAGAAGAGAGAGGGGTTGAAAAACTCTTTAAAATTTACTGCTCATGGTACCAGGAAAACATGCATATTTACTCACACCGCACAGATTTTGCCTGCAGCTGCAGGGGGTCCATAAGTGCCAACATCTTCTAGGGAAGAAGAATTTCTAATATGGCTTGGGAGGGCGGAGATGCTATTATGCAAAATAGAATAAGTCAGTGTAGTGCCTTGTCACTGGAAACCCCAAATCTGTCTCACCCCCCGCCCCAGTCTCTTCTTACTTTTAGACTCACCTGTTCAAAACTGTACTTGAGTAGCTCTAAGATTCTCAAACTCAACATGACCAAAGCTGAATGAACATCTTTTCCCCAGTCTTGTTTTTCAGTTTTTGTGCCCTGTCTTTAAAAAAAAAAAAAAATGTCATCCCTCTCTACCCAAATCGCTTCCCATCTCCAGTGCTTCAGAAAAATTTTCCTGTATCTACTTGAATCTTTTTATCCTCCTTTCTGGAAACCAGCAAAGTGCTTGTGTCACTCCCTGCTCAGCCCACCATCTCCACGCCCACCTTCTCCATGCCCACCATCTCCACGCCCTTATCCCCAGCACCAAAAGCTCCTCTGGGCACCCATCCACTTCCCTCATATGCTTTTCCAGGTTACACACACTACTCTGCCTAAAACAATGTCTCAGAAGTAATAATGTGAGCATCCCATTTTTATTCCTAACTGGTGGCTATCACAGCCCTTAGATGGAGGTCACGCCCTTCGCAGGCTCACATCATGGTTGTCATCCAGCCCCTGGGAGTCATTCCTGCTCCACCCACCCTCCTGACACACCAATCCCATCTCCAGAAAGCTTTCTTCACACCCTACTTCCACAGGTTGGATTCCACCCACTCTTCGGCTATCAAAGTAGGCATCATTTCTGGAGGAAGCCTGTTTTGACTTTCTCCAGGTCTGGATTTCATGCCTCTGCTGTTCTCAGTCTTAGAACCCCGTGTGTCTCACAGTACCAGGACCACTCTGTGTTCTAGTCATCTGCTGTGGCTCTTTATCTCCCTGCAGACTCAGCTCCCTGAGAGCAGAGATGGCTTTACCTTCATTCCCATACCACTAAGACCTAAGGCTATTCCTGGAACAGAAGAGGTGCTCAGAAATATTCAGTGACTGGGTAAGAAAATCAAAGAGTGAATCATGAATGGAAACACTAGAGTGGGGCAGCACTATGAATGAAAGAGAACTCAGGGGAAGCGTAGTTTCTAATTTTCTCTGTGCTGACGAACACTGGCAGCTTCCGAACTGCTCTCCACCTTTGTTCTCATCATTTCTCCCACGTGGAAGGACTTCTTTCTCCTGCCCCACCCACATAAGACTTGCCTAACTGGCAATCACCCACAGTGGTTTCTTCGATAAAATCCTTGGGATCTTATTACCTATATGGTACATTTTAGAACATGATTGCCCTGTGGCTTATAATTTCTCTCATTATTTCATTTGAGTAAGTTTTGTCTCCATGTTCAGATAAGATGATTTCACTTATAAGATAAAAGGTTGTTTTGCTTTGTTTCCTCTAACCTACCACAAATGAGGGATTCAGTGGCATGCTGGGAAAAGTTGGCACTGCGTAATCCCCGTTGATTAATTAACATCATTAACAATCATCAATTTCTTTCTATTCAGCAATAAGCCTTATGAAATTTTCCTAGTCATTTCATTTCTAGTCCAGAAGTGAATCAGGGAGCCTGGCCCTTCTTGGGAAATAGATCTTTTGATAATAGCTGTGTTGCTTTTAATCCAAACATCAAGCCTGGAAAATCCATTCATTTAGCAAGCACTTATTAAGGTAAATTATGTGCTAAGCCGTCTCCAAATGTACCAGCACTCCCAGACTCTGACCTACCTGCCATAAACATTTATATGAGAGTGACTGTCAGGTTTCCTCCATGCACAGCAGGAGACAGGGAGCAAGGTGTTGATGTCCTTGCAAGAAGAGAGCTACGCAGGACATGGTCAGAGCCAGAGCTTCCTGGCACCCCTATCCCAGGGAATGGAATATGACTTTCTCTTCAGAATTGATCCTCTTTGGAAACTAGGGCTAATGCTTATGCTTCCTCCATCACCAGTTGTGCGTGAGTGATACGTCCTGGAGGACGCAAAGGCCCCCCTTTGGCCCCCGAGTGATTTCCCCAGAGAATGGGAGGCTCTAGGCTCAGAGCAGGCATTCTCGGAGGACAGAGCGCCAGCAAGGCTGTGGAAAGGTCGCAGTGGGGTACCAAGAATGTCCACAATGGAAACCTATTTGTATCAAGAATATGGTGCATTCAGTCATTGTGGAAAAGAGCTGAGAATAATCTTTAACTGGAAAGAGTGAAGGTCTGCTTTCAGCAGAAGACAGTCTGGCCGGCTTGAATGCGAACTAGTCCCCCTAAATAGTAATCTGTTTAGAAAACAATTATAAAGCATCAAATGAAGGAATTTCTTGAGACATCTACTTTTTTCAGCAAAAATGGAAAAACACGGAGATTTGGGAAGACAACAGAAGATGTGGTCTAAGATAACTAAAACTCTTCCACATGTATAAAGATCCACACTACTCCTTGTCCTCAATAGTGATAGTCCAGCTATTCTCACCTTCCAGTAGACTCCACATGGACCCCAGAACTGGGTATCACCTCACTCTAATCCCTGATAAGTTTCTGTCTCCTCATCCATTTGAGTTCCTATTTCCAGGGCTACTACAGTAGGCATTTCTAGTTTTCAACCATCTTTCACATTGGGCTCTCCAGGTTTTTAGGAATCCATCACTCATTTCTGATAGTAAAAAGTTTTGGACACAAAGCTCCGGCGCTCCCGTGAGTGGGGAGGCCGTCCTGCTGCTCTCTGCTTCCTCAGGCCCTGCACTCCCTGCTTAGACCCGACTCCGACAGAAGGAGAACACAAGCTTCCTAGCCTTCACGTTTGCCCTTGGCACGTGGCTTTCTCCTTTGGCAGAAGTGCCTGGCTGCGTGGTAACGCCTTTCACAATTCTGGCTGACAAGCCTCCACTCCCCCATCTGTGTGTGCACACTGGCACGGCACAGCCATCTATCCACTTCAGGGTGCGGCAGGATTATGTGTCATGGGGCCAGGTTTCTGCTTAAGCTTCCTCAGGCCCTTGCGTGCCAGCCAAACACAGTGTAGGCTCAGAAAGCAACATTTCTAAGTACAAAGAGACAGACAGTAGTCACTGCCCCTGAATTATAACAAAGAGCATGCCATTAAACATGTTTGTAGCTGGCTTATGGATAATGCAAAGCAATTAGCAATCAATTGGCATCACACTGGCGCAGGATACACAGGAAACTGCAAGAGCAAAACTTCACCATTTGCTTCGTTAAAAAAAGTTTTCTGAACTGCTTTGCAAAGCTGAAGCCTTCAACTGTTTCTGGGATGTATGTGCAAGATCTAACCAATAACCACATTCATTTCTACCCATCCACCTGGCAATGCAACAGGAAAACCCAGGGATTAAGCACATGCCAGTGTCTCCGATACGCAGAGACGTCTTACTTGTCTTTGTAAGCTCAGGGTTGGTGTAACCGAAAGCCCGGCATAAAGTAGACACTCAGTAAATGCTGCTCAAATGAAACCGTTCTTCAGCCGCATCCTTCCCTGAATTGCCAGGGACATAAAGAGTTATTTCAGCCTTAGGAAAAGTGGAGGAAACTCACTGTTCAATCAAACTTTGTCAGTGCTCATAATAGTATTTATAGCAATATGCTAACCATTTTTTTTTAAGTAAAAGTTTCTTTCATTTGGGGAGCTGGGAGAGGGACTCAATCTCAGCCACCTCGCTAGAGCACCATTCCGGGTCTGGCTTGCCGAAGGACACTGTGTACAACAGGATATCTGAAAACTACAGGCCAACATACTTCACTAGGTAAAACAGATGTTCATCCACTGTGTTAGCCCCTGATTGGTCTTCAACTATGTCAAAGCATCTATCAAAGAAAATTATTTCATAGTGACTGAAAAGAAACAAAGTATTGTCATTTAAATAATTTCATAATAACTCTTATGGCTATCTTAAAGGGCAGGGCTGTCACTGCCTCAGTAGGACATTTGGAAGATTTTGACTTCCCTAATGTGAAGCCGAAGATGTTCTTTAATTTTTGTTCTTTCTTTGTTTTGCCTATAATGGTGGCCATTAGCACATGCCAAAGGAGAATTCCTGAAAATTTTCTCATGGGATAGCTAAAAAGTAAAGGAAAATGTCAGCCTTTTAGCTTCGTTTGTAATAACCAAAATGAAATGAAAATGGCAACAACCAAAACTGCATTTGGACAAATTTGTTGCAATTTTTGTAATCTGAGTGGGAAAATATTAGACTTATGGAAAGAAGAGGAGTAAAACATAAATTTGAAACTACATACTAAATTTGTGCTTGACTAAAAGTTAAATGAATAGAAGGGTTTTGGTGCCATTGTCTTCATCTTCTGTGGAAGGTACAGTCATATGCCAATGCACAAAGCTGAGGAGACACAAAATGTCTGCTTACAGAATCAAAAACATCAGTCAGCTTCCCTCCCTTGCTTGATCTCAGGCACTGTAAGTAACAATAAGCAGGCTCTTGTAGAACTTACAAAGGTACAGTTAGAACACAAACCCAGAAATAGAATTTCTGAGTGAAGGGGTGGCTTCATTTTCAATCCAGATAAACTCCCCACAGAAGTTGGACCCCACAGCAGGGTGCGAGTGCTGGCACACACCCCTCGCTTGTGTTTTCAGTTTTGCTGTTTCCAGGGGAAGAATTATTGAATTATGACTTGAAAGCACAGTCCTCTTAGTATGAGTGGAGTTCTTCATCTTCTTGTGGGTAAGGACTATACGAGCCTCCTATCCTGTGAACTGGCTCCCTGGACGCCTCCTACCATTCATCACTCACCCCAGAATTTTCAATGCCACATTTATTATGCACTAAATTATACAATATACTGGGCCTATAGCTTTTATCTTTCCTTATTGATTGATCTACATCATATTCAGTATTGTGCTATTTTAATGGTTACAGATTTACAACAGGATTTAGCACCTGCCAGTGCTAACAGCTTTTCTCTACTGTCATTTCCAGCATTGTCCTGGGTGTTACTGTTTCAGGACATTAGAAACAGATGTCAGTTTTATAAAAAACTATATTTATCTCTTTTATATTTTATGATTATTGATACATTTTGGACCTGTGAGTTTTTAGTTATGTAAAAATAATAACTGCAGTTAAAAAAATTCATAATGACAAGAAGCTATGCCTGGTAGAGTTGGACATGTGCCCCAACCTTGTAAAATTTCTCAGTAAAAATTATTTTATCTTATTTTTTATGTATTTAGTACAGGGTCTACAGGGTCTCATTATACAGATTGGACTCGTAGTGATTATCCTGTTTTCCAACCACTGGGATTACAGGCACGTGCCACCACGCCAGTCTCAATGGCAGTTTCAGCACACCCCAGGGGTGGGGCCAGCACAGCATGTGGTGTTGGGGATTGAACCCAGGTCCCTACACCAGCCTAAGCAGGCCCTTTAGTCTGCAGAGCTATCTGGCCGGCCCTGAAATAATTTTATTAAAATAAATATAAAAGATAGAATCTGAAAATGGCTTAATGTTACCTTAAGGGAAATTGTTATTTGATATTTGCTTAGCTAAATGGGGGTTGGTCTAGACAAATTTTATAGTAACAAAAGTTCATTCATAACATAATTTTTGATAAGTAAAAGTAAAACTATCCTTGAGGTGAAAATGATGGGGAAATTTTTTGCTATGTCAAAATTATAATTTTGATAATCTTGCCCACTGGGTTGGGAAATATGCCTTGATGGAAGTTCAGAGGCTAAGTTAGGATGCTAGCCTTTGGGCAATTATTGAGAATATAGATTTATCTTATTGGTACACAAATACTTTCTAAAAATCTTGATTTTTATAAATATTACAAAAACATATCAGTGTAGTAATTAGTAACTTTTTGTGTTTTCTGGGTGAATGATGATTTCTTAGTTGACTGTTACAGTACATGGAAAAAATAATCCTGAAGATAGAATCTGAAAACTTGGTGTTGGCTTTGCTTTTGGTCTTTTCCCACACAACATCGACTTGGGGTTTTCTCAGTCATTCACAGCCTGAGCAAGAAGATAATAACATGATGTAAAAACCTTATTCAATAGCACCCATAAGCTGCTCAGTATGTTTACTGAATATTTTCAGCCAGATGTAGGGGCACCCACCTGTAATCCCAGCACTAGGGAGGCTGAGGCAGGAGGATTACCATGAGTTTGAGGCCAGCCTGGGCTACATAGTGAGTTCAAGGCCAACCTGAACTACATAGTGAGACCCTGTCTCAAAACGACCAAAACCACGTGCCAGCTCCACCCATGGGGTGTGCTAAGACAGCAAGTGGGACTGGGTGCGGTGGTGCACACCTGTAATCCCGGCATTTGGGAGGCTGAAAACAGGAGAATCACCAAAAGTCCGATCTACATAGTGAGACCCTGTAGACCCTATCCTAAATACAGAAAAATAAATAAATAAATAAATAAGAACCAAAAACAAAACAAGAATATGCCAAAGAATGACAAAAGAGCATTGAATAAGGCCTTCGGTTTACACCAGCAAGGCACGAATTCCCTGCACCGAGGGGCCGAACTCAACTTTCTGCTTGCTGCTCTGATGTAGAACTACACACACCCAGCAAGGCCAGCCTGCCCAAGAGTCCCAGCGAAGACCATAGATACCAGAGAATCAGCTGACCTGCATGGGTACCGGATGTTGATTTTTCTCTCATTAGCATAATTTCCTGATCAGCTCGGTTAGGCTGGACTGAAATATAAATTACTCTGATTGATAAACAACAATCATTCACTTTTGACATTAAGTACAACTGCTTTCAGACTGATTAAATTTTTAAGCATGGACTGACTCTAATGAGTTTATAAAATATCAATGTTTCAAAGGAAATAAATACAAGTTTTTATTTTATTTTTTGGAATGAGGTTCACTTCATATTTTAAGGGTCTTTCTGAATTTTGTGCTTTAGTACATTAAATGCATCTTCCTTCTCATTTTGACACTAGAAGAGTTTAGACTTGGACTTCTTGTACTTTTCAGTGAAATTCAGACCCACCCAAGGTAACTTTCAATAGCAGCTAACACATGAGTAGTGTGCACGTGGTACAATACAGTACAAAAGCTCAGCTTTAGGCCAAAGGGAAAAGAGACAAAAACATAAAACACAGAGTGGGATGCCTAACTCAGGCATCAAATTGCTCCTCAAGGAGAATGGTCCAAGCTTGCAGGAGCACAGCTGGCAGGAGATCCAGGCCTCAGGCTGCACCATGGCGACCACAAGCCATGAGGGAGCTGACAGATGTAACCTGGGAGGGAAAGTTCCTACATGGCAGAGTAAGGAATTTGAGGTCAGAAATATTTGGGTTCCATATCTTAGTTTCATACCCACTGTGTGCTGCTAAGCGCACTGGGTCA